GCAGGTGTCTTCAGCGTCGCAGTGACCAACCTTGCACTAAGGCATTTTCCATTAGCGTTCCGTGTTGCTTCTTGAAGTTCCTCTACTACAGAAACATTCAAGTTCTCCTTAGTCTTAATTTCTTAAAAAAAAAAAAAAGGGGGGGGGCACATCTATGTGTTTCATATCAGTTTGAATGCTGAAGTTGTAAGTGTTGGCCTATTTGGTAAGGATATATATACATCAAAGAAGAAAGAAAGAAATGAAAGGATCCTAAACTTGGGTATCTTTCAGTAGTTTTTCTTCTGTCAGCTAATGTAGCAGCTGAACGTGTAAGGAAATGAAGAGGGAAGACGGTTAACCTGCGGCTCTGTTAGCGGCTGCTGCAGCAGAGAGAGTGGAACGGAATGGGATGAAATCATAGAGGTCTGCCATTTCCAGACTGATCCATTGAAACTCGATCGTCCATTCTGTACACAGCCTGCTTTTGAGAGGGATACCACTTCACATCACCAAACTCGTGCTCTTTCCCAATTCTAATCAATTCATCTTCCAAATCTGAATCATTCTTTGCCACGTACGTAATTGACCGTTTAAACAAGAGCTCCAATTGTAAGGTTACCTGCTTGACGTACGAAAGCATATTACATAAACACCAAAGCGCTCCTCTTCCTTTTTTTTAACCCATTCTTTTTTCTTTTTGATGTTAGAGGGGCCCAGAGCCCTTTTTTTTTTTTTTTTTGTTTCTTTGGGTAGAATTAAAATAGATGGCTCTTGCGTTGCACAGGGGAAGACATTTTAGGTGAAAACAAATATTAAAGGACCATTTAGTTTAAAATAACTTAAATCTCAAATTCTTAATCACTAAAATAATTAAAGATAGACGTAAAAAGTTATGGAACTCAATAAATTGTTGGCAAACAAGCCATATAAATATAATTTGGTGAAATTAAGATAATAGGTTATGCGCGCGGCACAAGGACAAATCATTTAAGATAGAGGAATATTCCTATATACATTTTAACTGTTAAAACTAGATATTTTGATCCAGAGCATATAATTTAACAGTTAAATAATGATTGGACGGATAAAAATGAAATCATAATAATGATAAAAAAATATGTCATAGTTTTTAACTTTTAATTTCGCTGGAGATTTATGTAAATTTTAAAAATAGAAAAGAAGCTTTTGTAATTAAAATAAAATATAGAGAAAGTCAATGTATTCACTCAACAATTAAACATACAGAAAGACCAAGCAACTCAAGGAAGAATATTTACAAACCAGGTCATATAGATTAGTTTGATTTCTTAATTAATTTACATATATCAGTATTTAGTATGATAAATATATTTTTTAGTTATTACTCCCTCCGTTCCTTATTATAAGAGATAAATAACTAAATTACGTTGATAAAAAAAATAGTTAAAATTAGTTGAGGACAATTAATGTGTAAAAAGTATAATATTTTTTCCAACAATACCCCTATTAATAAGGAGAGAGAATATGAGAAAGAACAATTAAATTATTAAAAGAAAGAGAAGAGGGAGGGAGAGAAAGTATGAGTAGGAGACAAAATAAATAGGAGTAAAATAGGAAATCAATACAAAAAACTAGAGACAACTTTTAAGTGTCTCTTATATATGGGAACATGTCATAAGCATCAAATGTCTCTTATAATAAGGAACGGAGGGAGTATTATTCATGAGATAAAAGAGATTTCTAATCTGTAAAATTATTCATTTCAGTTTTTTTTTTTATTTGAGCATCAACTTATGTGTCAGACATAAATTATCGATATTTCTTAACTAAGCATGTATCGAACTTGATCCACCAAACCGGAAGCGATTAGACACGGGTTATTCTTTCTATTGTTTAGTTCTTGTCTATCGGTTTAATAAACTTTCAATTTAGTTATGTTATTAAAAAAAATCATTTGGTTACCGATTGAAAGACGATGTTCAAAAAACCCCAAGGAACTACTTTGTTCAATCCAATCTTAGTTTATTAACTTGGTACTCCTCCTCCCGTTCTTAATATAAGACATATTTAACTAATTTGATTAGATTAAAGAAGTTAGATAAGTTAGTTAATTATAAAAAATATGACATATTTTTCTTAAAATACCATAATCATCTTCTTTAATACCCATCTCCCTCTTCTATTTAATCATGATTGAGGGAGTATTCATAAAAGTAATTTAGAAATATTAATATATATGAAAAATAGGTCTTATATTTAGAATCAAAATCAATTTAATAATTAGGCCATGTATTAAAGACGGACGAGTATGATTTAATTACTCCATCGCAATGGGGACGAAGACGTACCTGAGAAACAATCCCAAGAACCCCAAGCGAAACCTTGGCCGCATCAAGTTCTTCATCTGACTCACTCAGGCTCCTCACCTCCACATACCCTTCTTCCGCCGTCACCGGCGTCACAATCCTCATCGACACGACGTACTCATGAACGGCACTTCCCTTTCCCCGCAGCGAGCTGCCGGGAGCCCCCGTCGCCAACAATCCCCCCCACCGTTATTCCCCACCAGCACGGCGTGTGCGGCAAAGCCAACCCATTCTCCGCCGCTTCATTGATCAGGTCTCTCAGAAGCACCCCACTCTCTACGGTCATCCTTCTGTTCTCCACATCAACATTCACTACATGGCTGAGCTTGTTGGTGCTTATTATGATGCCTTCTTGGCCTCCGGGGCAGGCAAGTTTGGGGATGCTGTGGGAATACCCAGTGGTTGCTCTCACTTTAGTGTTGGACTTTGATGCCGAAGCCACCATGGAAATAAGCTCCTGCTCGGTGGTCGGATACAGTACCTGGGATGCTCGGCAAGTGCTCCGATCAGGGAAGTCACCGTAGGCGTTTGTGATGGTGCAGTTTGTGTCGGTGGAAGTACACTTGACGGGTTCATCTGGAGAAGAAGAAAGAACCCCATTCGTGAAAGCTATGAAGAAGATTATGAGAATCGATTTGAGCATTTTCGTGGTCGAAGCTTAACTCTTTCGTAAACTCGTTCGCTGGTGATCCTGGGGCTGAGAGCTTTTGTAACTGAGAGAAATGATAGGGCGGTGAAATTTGAGTTTAAACTTATAATGCATGGCCTAGTAGCTAGTTACGTTACATGTATATATAAACTCAGACAAATAATGTCAATGACGATATAATAATACTTTGAGCACTGCAATGGTAATTAAAAGTGCATTTTCAAGAAAAGCACGTTTTGTTGCTCTTTAGTTTAGTAATGGAGTTTACCATGATAATGATTATTACCAAAAAGTTGATAATGCCCATTCATTCCTCCCCTTATGAATTCTTATTACCACTCATTGCATGATTCAAAAAGTATTATTTACCCTTGTATTTGTTCTTATTGTCTCCTCCCTCTTCCTCCATTATCGACAGCCACTCCCACGGCACTGTTAGCCCCATCAACTAGAATCAACGTTTTTTCCCTTCCTCTATGGCCTTTCTCTCTTTTTTTCTTTTTTTTGAAGACAGCCCTTCTCTTTTTTCTCCCTCCCTTTACTATCATCATTTTCATCCTTGGCCATCGACATTTGAAGTTGTGAATGTCTCCCTTTCATATTTGTTTTCTATGAATGTCTTCCTCTGGATCAATTTTTTTGTGTAAATATTCAAATCAGTATTTGTTGTGACAAACATGAGATTTTCATGCTTCTATAGTTTAGAATTGGTTTTTATTTTGTACCCTTTATAAGATTTGAAACCATGTTTAAAACTTGATTCATATATTTCTTCCCTTTTAATTCGTTATGCTCATGATTTGCTCAAGATTTTTTTCTCCTAAACATGCTGATTCTTCTTTGGGTTTTGCATTGACACTGGTGTTTTGGTTGAGGAAGAAGATGATTGGGAATTGAGAGTTTTTGGGCATTTTGGACCTTTTATAATTCTGATTAAATATGAAAAATAATCTATGCACATCTTGTTAATAACAAACCACACATATTGATGGTAATCATCTTGTCAATGGGTATCTAGTGCATGTTTAATTATTGCTAGGTATACATAAAATCGTAACCGATATGTTTAAAAGTCATAAGTTAGGTGTCTCTCTGTGTACTATATATATGCCCAATAATAATCAAAGCCAAAGAAGCGGATAATGTGTTTAACCAGCTGGGCTGCCAATAAAGAGGATAATTAAACGGATGCGTAATAATTAATCCATCATCCCAACCACCAACGATTATTCTCAATTTCCCCTTCTCAAGTTCAGGAAATTTACAGTGAAGTGAAATTTGTTGACGCTCTGGAAATGTGCTTAGTAATTATCATCAGGGGTTTGATTATGCATACCTTATCTCAGTCCAAAATTTACACCAATTTTTAGCCAAGCTAACTTTGCTCCAATAGCTTTCAATTTTCTGCCAGGTTCGATCTGACTTTTATAATACCCATCACTTCAGTAGACCAACATAAAATTCAAAAAAAATACTTTTAAAATTTCAATCAGAAAGATTTGCCTTTTAAGTGTTGTAAATAAGATTGATCTGAAATTTTGAAATTCAAAGGTATTTTTCTTTTTAGATTCTCCCTTTTTTTTGGTGAAATAGATTCTCCCTTTATTACAAGACAAGCAATATACCCAAAAAAATAAAACAATAAAAAGACAAAACAGAAGGAAAACAAGGATTTTTTTTTAACAATAGCTAGTCAACTCATATAGTATATTACGTTAAGTTGCCACCAGTTAGGCAGCTACAGTATTAATGTATAAAATGAAGACTTCCAAATTATGAATATAAAAGTTTAAATGGTAAATTTGAAATTTGATTTGTAAATAGGTCCCTTTTTTATTAATTTTTTACGAAATTTTTAAACACCTGATCACACAAAATATTTTCATTTTTAATTTCTTCAAAGTGTGCAGAGTTTATTTAGCTTTTAGAATGAGAAATATTAGAAAGTAAAATTATGAGGACTGTATATTTACGCTTCCGTAGGGAAAAACCTAACATTACTTTTTTATTAGGGACGACAATTAAGAAAACAACGCAGCATCAAACTAGAAGTACCATGTCACATTATATAAATTACAGAGACTAATGTAGTTCTTTTATCAAATCAGCATCGCTTATTGGAAATGACAATATTGCCTTATTCTACAAGAAAAGACTATGAGAATAACATCTTAAATATGAAATATCACACCACGAAAAGCCCTTTGATCGGAAGCATCCTTCCAATAAAAGCCTTTTATTCTTTCATATCAATCTCAGCCTTCGAAAGCACAAACCCTGGCTTCCTTATAAACCTTCCCAGGCCTACAATAATATTTCCTGGTTGGAGCACAATGACGATCTTCTGAGCATATACACAGACCTTCAAGAGCACACCCATCTCTGAATATCATTACACTTCCTTTTAATCCTAAAATCTGATCTGTCCATTTGCTAGAGAAAATCCCTTGTGGATCATACTTCCTCTTCACACTTAAGAACTTGTCCGCATTCGGATGCTTCTTAATCACTTCATGGAATGCTACATTCCTATTCTTTCCCCAGTGGGGTAACGCTCCGTATTTGAATAACCCCATCTGCTCAATCTCCTCAAAAATGTCCTCAAAAAGCCTAGGAACCAATGGGTTCTTGCTTTTATAGTATACGAAATCAAAATCCAGAGAATCCTCTGTTGTTCCCAGGTAAGCACTTGAAGCTTTGATGTAGCGCAAGAGGAGGCCCCCTTTAAGCTCTAAGGTACATAGCGCTTTTGGCTCTAATTCAACTAGCTTCTCCACATCTTTAATGAAGCTTGAAACCTTGGACAAGGGGACGGTGATGGATGTTTCGTGGAAAAAATAAAGTTTTAGTCTTGAATCGAAGGGGCATATGGTGCGCAGTCCGTCTTCTTTACTAAATAGGCATGATCCAGTTGTTTGCATGCGATTGTTTTGTCCAATCACGGGGTACCCAGTAAAGATTTTACCTATTTATGCATAAATTAAAGAAACTAATAAGTTGAGATGCTAGCGTTGGTTAAATCACCTATGGATGAAGAAAAAAATGTCCATGAGGTGTTTGTCAAAATGCGTAAGCAAAAAGTGAGAAAAGGAGTTAGTACCGTTGTTAGTCAAACCATAAGCCTCCGTGAAATCAGACCAAGTCACATTTACTGCGTCCACGCATTTTCCATTAGCGTCCCCTGTTGCTTCTTGAAGTTCCTCTGTTACAGAAAATTCAACTTCTCGTTAGTGTAGTTTCTGAAAAACATTTATACGATAAATAAAAACATGTCGACAAATGAAAGAATCCTGAGTATTAACATGATGATTAACCTGTGGCTCTGGTAGCAGCTAATTGAGCAGAGGGAGTGGCACGAAATTCGATGGAATCATAAAGACCATTTCCATTCTGACTAATGGGCACTCGATCATCAAGTCTGAACACGGCCATCTTTTGTGTAGGATACCACGACACATCACCAAACTCGTGCTCTTTCCCAAATCTAATCAATTCCTCTCCCAGATCTGAATAATTCTTCATCTCGTACGTGATTGATCGTTTAAACAAGGGTTGTAATTTTAACGTTACCTGCAAATTAAAAGCACCAATTACGTACATATGTATAAAAACCTCTATTTTGTTTTCAATTTTCTTCTGTTTGGGCTAAACTTTTCTAGACATAACTCAGGACATAAGGAAACCCAAGTTGTACTTATGTAACGTTTTTCCATGAGGCAAATATATGCCAAAAAATTAGGATTTCGTCATTTCTGCAAGTCCACCGTATTGAAATCTGCATCGGTCTAATGGATTTATTATGTTATTATTTGATGATAGCTATGTTTTTGTTAATTTTTCCAGTAAATGTAGAATAAATAGCTTGTGCTCATGCGTCGCACTGAAATAAATATTTATAAAGATAGACAAATAATATTGAGCCTATTAGCTTTAAACAATTTAAATTTGTATCTCTCACTCACTAAAGTAATCATTAAACAATAGATATAGAGCACAACTTTTTTGGTGAAAGACATGATATATGTACCATCAACGACAGAGATTAATTTTTTGTCATACCAAAAAGTAATAAGGTAAACACTTAAATCCTTGTAAATACTTATGGAGCGAATATCATGCTGATAAAAAAAATACGTATATAATCTTAGTGTTCAATTCATTAATATGAAAATATACAAAATATTATATTATTAAAAAAAATCATCAGGTGCTAATTGGAACGGTCTATTAATTATTAAATTATAAATAAAGACATACCTGAGAAACAACTCCTAAAACGCCAATGGCAACCTTGGCTGCATTGAGTTCTTCATCAGACTCAGATAGGCTCCTCACTTTGGCATACCCCTCTTTCGCCGTCGCCGGCGTCACAATCCTCATACCCACCACATATTCATGAACCGCACTTCCCTTTCCCCACAGTGAGCTGCCATGAGCCCCAGTGGCCACTACTCCCGCCACCGTCAGTCCCCAAAAATACGGCGTATGTGGCAACGCCAACCCATTCCTCGCGGCCTCGTTGATCAGGTCCCTCAGAAGGACTCCACTCTCTACCGTCATTCTTCTGTTTTTCACATCAACATTCACTACACGGTTGAGCTTGTTGGTGCTTATTATGATCCCGTCTTGGCCCCCAGGGCAAGCAACCTTGGGGATGCTGTGGGAATACCTGGTGGCTGCTTTCACTTTTGTGTTGGATTTTGATGCCGAAGCCACCATGGAAATGAGCTCTTTCTCGGTGGTTGGGTACAGTACTTGGGATGCTCGACAGATGCTCCGGTCAGGGAAGGCGCCGTAGGCGTTAGTGATGGTGCAGTCTTTGTTGCCAGAAATGCACCTAATGGGGTCAGGTGGAGGAGAAGAAAGAACCCCATTCATGAAAGCCAAGAAGAAGAAGAGAAGGGATTTAAGCATTTTCATAGTTGAAACTTGGCTTTCTGTATGTAAACTTTGGTCGTTGGTAAAGCATGCATGGCCCCTGCGAGATGTGTGTTATATATAGAGACATTTGGGACAATGGTACAGAAATGAGAGGGTACTGAAATTTGACTGCTAACATAAATATGCTATTAGTCAGAGTATGATGAACTCATCGTATCATAAATTATCAACGAATGACGATACAATAATTTTATTACAACTCATTATTAGGCATTTATGTGCGTGTATTATAGACTTACAGTATATAGTATATACGTATGAAGACTAAAAGCCAGCCCGTTCGCACGTCTATTTGCAAAGTTTTGTGAGTATAAATATAAATGAGCGTCAGAAGGATTAAGCACATAAATAATTTAATTTTGCTCCTCGCAAGATCGATGAAGTTTCCTTGAGGTGATATTTTTTCCACTCTGGAAAGGTATTTTTAATGATGCTTATATAGATGTGTGTGTCTAATAAAATTAAGAGATCGATCAATTCAACGCACATGCTAATGTCTTCTTTGGGAAACAAGAGTGAACCTCGGTTGTTGCCCGAAAAGACAATACAGACCGGAGTTTTGGGTTTTATTTTCTTCCTCTTTCTCCTTTTCTTATTTACCCTTAAATTAAAAAAAATGGAAAATTCATATTTAATATTTTTATAAACTGATTATTACAAACATAAATAAATAAATTTGAATTGCTAAAATCTTATCTATACAATTTATAACTGCAATACTGACAAAATAAAAAATTATTTTATAAAATGTTAAATTTGAATTGTCCATTTTTTGATCTAAAGATGGAGATAAAATACTGAGAAGAAACGTAGAAAGAAAAAGGAGAGGGCGGTCTGCGTTGGAAAAATGTGATGTAATTAATAGTAATGTGTAAAAAACTAAACAATAAACTAAACTTAAGCTTGACCAAAGGAAAAAAAACTAAACTTACAAGCAACAAGTTGGACTATTATCATTACTAATATTTTCCTCCAGATTATCCACCCTGGAAACATTACCCTCTTTTTTAGATCGATCCTATAGAAACCGTAACATACTTGTGCATGTAACGTAGAAACTTTGACAAACTACATAATTTATAAAAATAAAAAAAATTAATTATATGTAATATTGAAATTAAACATGGGCCTCTCTTGAATCTATCCTGTCTAAATACAAAATGATTATTTTATTTTTATTTATTAATTGAATGATTTGTTACGAAAATAGTAGTGTAATATAAATAAAAGAATAAAGAATTTTGAAATATAAATTCTGTTACTACAATTAAATTTAAACGACTCAAATTTAATTTAACATAGGATATCAATCTATTCAAAGGAGATGGCCTGCCTAGTTAGAAGTAATGCGCTATAGAGCCAGTAACTCATTTCCATATAAAAATATTTTTTATTATATAAAAGCTTTTGTCAGAAGTATTATTATTTTTCTAAATATTAGTATTTGCTTTAATATTTTTCACCGAATAAATGACCACCTCTAATCAATGAATTTAATTCATCAAGAATAATTTTAATTTTTGCAAAGTATTAAAAAATTAATTTCAAACTAAATTTTCAATCTTTATAAAGTTATTAATGCATGTCTTTATCATAAGGATTGGATAGCATTAAAAATTTTAACAGAATGCGTAATCGATGAGAAGTGCAATTCATTTTTTAAATTTCTTGCAATACACAGGACTTCACTGGTTTCAACAGTTTGAATAATAAATTCACATGTTCAAAATTTGATTTGAAATATATATATACACAATTTTCTCAAATTTTAATGCTTTTCAAAATCTTAGAAGAATTATAAAATTGGTAGGGTACGGTCATGCATTGTGACGCCGAATATGGAGAAATATGAGTTTGCACTTGGAGAACGTTCAAATTAAAAAGCCCCCCTCGCGATCTCATGGCATCCTCGCTGACGGCCATTCCATTCCGAACTTTCTTCCTTGATATCGTACGGAGACTGCCAAGCGCATCAGCAATTTCGTACAACCAATCACTACGGAGGAAGAAATATACAAAAGCCACTGAAAATCGGAGTTAATATAATTTTATTCGAATATAAAAATATTCATATGTAATTTTCTTCCAAAAGAAAATATTATTTAAATAAAAAATATTAATTAATAAGTAAATAGAACATTCATATATAAATCATATATTATCTAACATAACATAGTTAGTTTTTTCTTGTTTAGAGTCAAAACCACAATCATTTATAGTTTATTTCAAAAAAATAATCTCTTACTCGTAGCTAGGTTCAATGAACAAAAGGATTGGACATACTCATTAAGGAAACGAATTTGATCTTAGAGCATGCCATGACGCTTGAGGGAGGCATTTTCAAAGTTAAATGTTAAAACCACAATTATGGCGCCAAGTAGAACTGGCGTCAAGGATTAGTTTGTTGTCGTAAATTTGGAATATGAGTAAGTTGAACCCCTTTGTTAAAAATTTGTCAAAAAAAAAAATCCAATTCATATCCATTTAAGACTTTTAATAAATCAGTAATCAGCATCAATCCAATGACTGATTTATTAAGTTACTCGTTTGACCGAAAAACTCAAGTTTGGTTTTAATATCATACTAGGAATTAATCCGTTTAGCACAAGACAAGCATAATAATAATAATAATAATAATAATAATAATAATAATAATATATTATTATTATTATTATTATTATTATTATTATTATTATTATTGTTTTCAACCATGAAAAGACGCACGCACTAGAAGGAAATACAAGGTACCATTAAATAAAAAAACCGGAAAGATAAAAGACATTTTTAACTATAGTCAACTTTATACTACCTTTTATTTTTAATATAAGAATTTGACAGAGGATTGGATTTGATGTTAAATATAAAACCTTAAATTATTTTGTTTCCTAAATTTGTAATTTTTTTCTAAAATATCTTTATTGATTATTAAGGATTGTTAGGAAAAAAAATAGTTCCAAAGCACATGTTAATTGAGAAAAGTCAATACATATTTATTATAATTAATCAATTTAAGTAATTTTTTTAATTTTTTCAACTTAGTTATTTTAGTTATCTAAATTGTATATTAAGGATCGGAGATAATATTATATTAAGCTACTAGCAACAATTATTGTTATCAAACTTGTGAGTCCACCATCTAAGTTTAACGGTTTTACGTTTCTAACTTGCAAAATTGTGTCAACTTATTCTTAAACTCATGCTAGTTATAAATTCGGTTAAACTTGCAAGTTTACTCATCTAGTTTACTGTTTTTATGTTTTTAGTTTACAAAATTGTGTTATCTTGTTTTTAAACTCATACTAAATTTTTGGGTTTAATTATATTTAGTGACTTTATATATGAATTTCATAAAGATTTCTTTGTTAAATATAGTAAATTATGAATGCTGATGGATTTAATTTTAATTATTTGGATTGAAAATATATTTAAATGGAACTAGTGTCATTTTTATATTTTAATTATTTAATTATATACTTTTAATATCAATTTATCAATACACAAATTTTTATGAGTATCTATCTTATGAGTTTGACAACCTTGGCGACAATATTAATGT